ATGGTACATCATGTCACAAATAGATATGTGCATTTGTTTCATGATCTGCTTAACAATAGCGGAATGATGGCCATTTTAAGGCCGAAAATGCATCAAAATCATGTATTTTCACAATTCCAGAACCGGATCTCAGTCATGCATGGATGAATTTTGTTCAGATTTAGCACAATGTGTTGTACATATGCAGGTGCATTTCGGTCATGATCTGCTTTGAATGTATATGTCACTCAAATATGAACGGAACGGGGACGTGTCATTGACAATGACTTGTTAATTAGTATTTTCCTTGACACAATTGCAGTAGTCAACATGTGTGAATTATATTGACATAACTGCAGTATTCACCATGTGTGAATTATATTAACATAACTGCAGTAGTCACCATGTGTGAATTATATTAACATAACTGTATTAGTCGCCATGTGTGAATTATATTAACATAACTGCAGTAGTCACCATGTGTGAATTATATTGACATAACTGCAGTAGTCACCATGTGTGAATTATATTGACATAACTGCAGTATTCACCATGTGTGAATTATATTAACATAACTGCAGTAGTCACCATGTGTGAATTATATTAACATAACTGTATTAGTCGCCATGTGTGAATTATATTAACATAACTGCAGTAGTCACCATGTGTGAATTATATTGACATAACTGCAGTAGTCACCATGTGTGAATTATATTGACATAACTGCAGTAGTCACCTTGTGTGAATTATATTGACATAACTGCAGTATTCACCATGTGTGAATTATATTTACATAACTGCAGTAGTCACCATGTGTGAATTATATTGACATAACTGCAGTAGTCACCATGTGTGAATTATATTAACATAACTGCAGTATTCACCATGTGTGAATTATATTAACATAACTGCAGTATTCACCATGTGTGAATTATATTGACATAACTGCAGTATTCACCATGTGTGAATTATATTTACATAACTGCAGTAGTCACCATGTGTGAATTATATTGACATAACTGCAGTAGTCACCATGTGTGAATTATATTGACATAACTGCAGTAGTCACCATGTGTGAATTATATTGACATAACTGTAGTAGTCACCATGTGTGAATTATATTAACATAACTGCAGTATTCACCATGTGTGAATTATATTGACATAACTGCAGTAGTCACCATGTGTGAATTATATTAACATAACTGCAGTATTCACCATGTGTGAATTATATTAACATAACTGCAGTAGTCACCATGTGTGAATTATCAATAGCCAATTTTATACAAACTTTTACATCTTCAAATATTTGTACAGGCAAATTCAAACTAGGACTATGTTATTGACGATGACTTTATATACTTATTTTCTCTCAATACAGAAATCATATCATGAGGTAGAATCAAGAAATGTGGAACTGAATGATAAAATACAGCAGTTACAAAGTAACTACGTACAACAAGCAGAATCACTTGATGAACAGCGCAAACTTGTAAGATATTACAACAATGACAGGAAAATAAAAGTTATCTGTTTGTCCAAAATTATAATTTACTGAAAACCAGAACATTGTTGTATTAATACTGCCTTTGCTTTGCTTTACTATGTATATTAGGTAACCATGTACCAAGACCAAAGTTGTGAAAGCATGGCAAATGTTACAATACTACAGCATAAAATACAAGAGGTAAGCTGAGAGAATGTTGTTCTATTGAACAATGAAAACATTTTCATTACTTTGTGAAAATTGTTTTTATTTGACAATATTAGCATCATGTATTACATTGTGTTGATAGATACATTGTAATGCTCTGACCAGTTTCATTAAAACATGGTATTGACAACACTTGTGGGTTAAAGATGCACATCATTTTATTTTGAAATTTGATACAAAATGGCTGAGTGGTGGACTAGTTCATTTCTACCAGTTTCTCAGATAGACAGATTTTTTTTTCAATTTGGTACAATGACCAGATATAACAGGTTGAATGTCAAAAAAGTAAAATCACAAAACATTGACATGCCTTGGCTAATTTTGGATGAACTCTGAAACCAGAGAAATGTTTCGGCATTTCCAACTATTTCAAAGACATGCCTGGTGTTTTCATATGTATATCAGCAAATTAAACATTGCATTAATTTGCACTAAATTGCCTTTTTAGTCCCTGATTAGATGTAGTCTGAAAATGGAAGTACTCATGTTTTGATTGCAAGCCATGCATCTGTATCTCGGACATTCAAATTCACCAAATGCGTTGCTTACCTTGGACAACATATACACATCCATTTGTTCATGATCTGAACATTTTTGTTCTAAAAATTCATCAAAATCAAGCATTTCTACTATTCATTCCTGTTTGTTTTTTGGATTTGACCATCCATGAACAACTTCTCAAAAAACACTGTTGTGATACTGAATGTTACATGTGTGAGGCAGGTCAATATAGTGAATGTTAAATGTGGGAGGTAGGTCAATATACTGAATGTTACATGTGTGAGGCAGATCAACACACTGAATGTTAAATGTGGGAGGTAGGTCAATATACTGAATGTTACATGTGAAAGGGAGGTCAATATACTGAATGTTACATGTGAAAGGGAGGTCAATATACTGCATGTTACATGTGAAAGGGAGGTCAATATACTGAATGTTACATGTGTAAGGGAGGTCAATATACTGAATATTGCTTCTTTAAATCTTGCAGTTAGAATCCTCCTACAATGATAGCAACACACTTCTTACGCAACTTCAGACTGAACTTGATAGCAGTAAAGAACAGAGCAGCATTCTGGAATTGACTAAAGAACAGGTTTGATCACTACTTTATGTTTTTATTACGGTATGCATTATTGTGTGTGTGTGTCTGTCTGGGTGTGTGTGTGTGGTACCAACGTTGCGATGACTTCAATTTAACTTTACATCGACTTATGACGACAGGACAGGTCAAGTTTACAGGTTTAGGTTTAGTAAATATTATTCGCAAACATTTCTATGTTTAGTCAACGGATATTGAAATTTTATTTAATTAAACTCCTTTTAAACGCAACCCCATATAGGAATGCATTTCATATCACAACTATATTAAAAGTTAATCCAATGTGTGTCATTACAATGATGGTAAGACGTATATGTGTGTGCGTCTGTGTATCTCTGCCTGCCTGTCTGCCTTATCTTTGTCGCTAGGCTTCTTGTTTCAATGACTAATCTTAAATTTTGAATTATTTTTTGTTCAATAGAATAGAAAGATTATTTATTTTTATGTGTACAGCAGTAGTGTTTAGACTATGTACTTAGTTCAGTTTTTCTTGTCACAAATTTTACCACTCGCAAGTTATCAGTATTTGTGCACTCAATACATACTTTAGCTGCTTTGTATAGGTGATATCTATGACAGATTTTCTATGTTAATATTGAGTATTGTTTTAAATGTTTCTTTCTAGCTTTTGAAAGAAGCACAAGGATGGACTGAAAGGTAATGCATTATACAATAGGAAATGTTAACACATTGCCATCTATGGTAAGGTAATATTATACAATAGGAAATGTTAACACATTGTCATCTATGGTAAGGTAATATTATACAGTATGAAATTTTAACACATTGCCATCTATGGTAAAGTAATATTATACAGTAGGAAATGTTAACACATTGCCATCTATGGTAAGGTAATATTATACAGTATGAAATTTTAACACATTGCCATCTATGGTAAAGTAATATTATACAGTAGGAAATGTTAACACATTGCCATCTATGGTAAGGTAATATTATACAGTAGGAAATGTTAACACATTGCCATCTATGGTAAGGTAATATTATACAATAGGAAATGTTAACACATTGCCATCTATGGTAAGGTAATATTATACAGTAGGAAATGTTAACACATTGCCATCTATGGTAAGGTAATATTATACAATAGGAAATGTTAACACATTGCCATCTATGGTAAGGTAATATTATACAGTAGGAAATGT